ACAAAAATTTCATATTCATTGTAATTATAAATTTTATTGGGCTACCCATATTAAAGTTCAATATAACCAAAATCAAGTAAAACAAGTTTTGATGTGATTGATTATATTCCAATTTTGTATTTATTTGCCTCTTTGAGTAAATGTTGTAATTCTGGTATAAGGTGAGAATGAAGAAAAGTTCTTTCTATCTACCCATTCTACTTTACACTTATGTTTTTGACAAACTTTAATGCATATAACCATATTCCTTGAATTATAATGGTTAACTGCTTGCTTTCTTGCAATAGTCTTCCATTGAAGGCATCGTTATCAACCAAACTTACTCTACATTTATTTTTTGTTCATGAACATTAAATGAGAATGATTGTATTCCCATAAAAGCATCGATGGAAATGATTGGGGCCTTTAAAACTGAAGCAAGCTCATTCCTTGTCCAATATATTGACACAAAAGAACATAACTATGAATTGTAGTTCATTGATTTTTTTTTTCAATAGGGAATAAACTATTGGAAACCAAGAAGCTACAAAGAATGCATCAATCATCAGGATAAAAAAATAAATAATGTTAATCAAAAATAAATAATGTTAATAACAGACCTGGTGATATATTTCTATACATCTACACTTTTCTTCAGTAGCCTCCCTTATCACAATGGTTTCTCTACATGACTATTTTACTTTGTAAAATTAACAGGTACTTGTCTGTCCTTACCAACACTGATCTGACCAATAACTAATAACCTATATAAATTTCATATGCCTTTACATCTTTCTTTTAGATTAGAAATTAGCTTTCTAATTTTGTTTGCATATATTTTTAATGTTAGAGTATATCCAAGAGATCTGTGGCTTCAATATACACACTTTGTCCATTTTCCCTTTTCATTCTAGGTTAAAAAAAAGGATATAATTGAAAGTCTTAATTTATAATCATCATTCCAAACAGTAAAAAAAAATATTTTCAGTAAAAGCTGGTGTCTAAGATATATTCCTTGGGTATGTTCACCTACTCTATTTTCACAGAGATTCGCTTCAAAAATTACAAATTGTCTACCTGGAAATACTACCAATAATCCAGACGTTCATCTTTTCATCCTTTCTTTTTATAGTTTGTACAGATCCAGTATTCATAATATAATTCATATATAAAATTGAAAGATCATATGACAATTACTCATTTTGTACATTTGTAATCACTGTCACATAAAATTCTGATCTAGTCATTGAAATCTTCCTAATCCATTTACATAAACATCTCCAGAAAACATTTTTTAATTAATTACTTTTACACCAACATACTAACACAATAGAGAAAACATTCTATACTTAAAATGTTTTTAAATTTTTCTTAAACTACAAGTTAAAATGACATACAAGTATTACTAGTACAGGGTCTAATGAACCAATGGAATATTTTGTGCTGCTACTGTAATATACAGAAAAATCTGCACTTTACTGCACATACCACCTACAAATATGCTAATAAAGTGAAACATGAACATTTTACAAAAGATCTCAGATTAGAACAAAAGATGTGACAGATGCTAGTGCCCTAAAAGGCCTCCTTATACATGACATTGCAATTGTTTAAATAAAAACTTCATAAAATTGAATTTTTATTTCTAGTTATCCTTACAAATATAAAAGCTATCTGTGTTCATCATCATCATCCCCTTGTTGAAAGAGATTTAGCAAATCATGAATATGATTCTCCTCTTCCTGAAAGAAAAGAAAGACAATATTTAGTAATATTCTGTGTACTTTTCACTGAAAACATCATTTTATATTTTTAGAACTGAGTGTGACGTTCGTAACAATTACCAAAATACTGAATGTGTAAATAAAATACCTGTATTTAAAATATCAATTATCACCAACCAATGAATTACCAAATGATTACAAACTTAAGCCTGACAGTCAACAAATCACTTATCAAGAACATCTTTGCTTCGGAAAAAATGAGTATTCTTAGGCATTATGCCCAAAAGAGAAATGTCTGTAACTTTCAAAGCAATGTCAACTTCCTTAGCTATGCTGCCAGTTAAAAGACAATCATTTTATACAATTTTACTTCAACAGAACTTACCTGAAATTCCTCTTTCCCACTAATTGTACTTAATCTTGATCGTAGAACCTGTGGTAGACCCAATTCTGGTCTCAGAGCATCCTGAAGTGCCTGGGGATAGGACGATGCCAACCCATAGACTGCCGCAGTACAATGCTCTCGGGAAATATTGTCTGTGTCTTCATTGCCAAGAATTACTGCCAACTGTTCAACATATCCCATTGAGAGAACAGTGTCTGAAATGTAAAAAAAAATTACAATGTGGTTTTAGATACATGAATGTTCATATTGCTCTCTTGCTTCACATCTCAATTTCTACATTACTAATAATAGAGATTAGTTTTGTGACTACTTACAATTTAAATGTAATTTTGTTCTCTATATGTATACACACCAAAGGCACAAATGCCACATAATTTCCTTGTATTCCAAAAATTCTATCTTTTCTATAAACTATAAACTATAAACAAAAATCTACACAATATTGTTTACACACAGATAAAATGAAACATTGCTATAAGAGACACAATAAAAATGTGACTTTGCCAGAGTTATTCATCAGATACAGTAAAAATGGAAATGAATGGACATAGTAATTGACAAGAATATACTGGGAATAAGAATCAATTACTTGTGTTCAAGTTTGTCAAGAATTCCTTATCAGATGCAATAAAAGCAAAAAACTAAAATAATAATCACTTTAAAGAAAATGTATAATAGGCAATTAATTATGTAAGTGTACCTTTCCCCTAAAAATAATTAAATGAACTATCATTACAAAAGTGAACAACTAGAGGACTTACCAATATACGATTCATTGTTTCTGACAAGGTTATTTAACAGGAATGTTGACTTCACAATCAACTTCTCAATGCCGGATTGCATTGAACGCATTAAATAGGAGAGACCATCTGCTTTCAAGAAACTTTCTTCACCTTTTGGGAAATCTCTGATCAGACCTGTAATTCATGTAATCAATAAAACCATTTGAAATTAAATGAATATGAAACTTGGTTAATCGCATGTGTTATAGAGCATAAGAAAGTTTATTATCAATTATCCTGTCATTTACTCCTTAAAACAGTGAATTAAATATTTTTCTCTAATATAGGCCTGTTTTATCTTATTGTAAATTCTTAGAAGCTGAAGTTATATCTATGTAAAAACTATCTAATTAAAGATTTTTGTATGTAATATTAATATAGTATAAATCTTTTTAAAAAAAGTACAAAGAGGTAAATCTGAATCATTACTTACATGAAATAGCATAAAGAGCTTTTATTCTTGCTTGTTTATCTGTGTCAGTGTCCATCATCTCAAGAAGAGGAGGGATTGCCTTTAAAGAAAGCATACTTTCTTGGCACACAAGGTTATTCTGACATATATCACCAATCAGTCCAGCAGCTCCAACTCGAAGACTTGCGTGAGGAGAATTCAAACATCTCAGTAGAGCTGGAAAACCTCCCATTTTATAGAAGTCTGAAATGAAAATGAATGTTATTGATAGGCATCTGTATCACATATATATAATTAGTATAGTTTTTTTCTTTTTTTCGACACAGCAATTATAATTTTAATAAAATAAAAAATTCTAGTAAAGTAATTATTTTCTGAACAATTACCCATTGCATGATTCAGGTCATCCACATGTTCTTCAATCTGCTGAATAGCTTCCTCCTGCTCTGTGACATCCTCCTCTGGCATTGTAACAGCTTCACTTAAAAGTTTTTGGACCGATTCAGCAAGTAGTTTGGCCACATTCATGGTCATTCCTGACAGCGCTTCCTCCAGAAAGGCTCGGCGCTGTACAGTAAATTGCATCACTTTAGTTGCAAGCATAACAACAGGGCTTGTTCCATACCATCAAATAGTTTACATAATTAAAAAATTAAAAGATTTATAAAGAATAAGTATTACTAACTGCATATATTACCAATTTGCTCACAGTGATTTTCAAAGAGGGTTTACCTCTCCTAAATAGAATGGTTCTGTCTAAATTCACCTAAAATTCACTATGATTTGTTATGGAAGGCCCACAATCTTATGGATAACTCAGTAATGGCAAAGGCCTAACGTCCAAAAACAGAAGTGACATCCATCCTTTGGCACTCTGCATATGCTAAAAAAAAAAAATCAGTACCCCTGACATGTGTCTAGATGTATGGCAAATATGAATACTTCCATAACATACAAATAATAATCATAAAATTCATATTGAGTAAATCATTACATTAACATTAAGCTACAAGGTATTCAAAACTGGCAAAGAACACTTACATCCGAATTTCCCCAATTCAAGGGGCATTAAAGTAATTACTTAAAATTCCCTCACCTCGGGATCCATGCCACTAATTTGCGAAGGAGCGGTGGTGTCCTCGCGAGCTGTGATCTCCGTGCAGAAGTTCAGGAGACCTTGCATATTTCGAAGCCGTCGGGAATCCTGGTTATCTCCACTGTCTGACATTGTTACGGGTGGATCTGTGACGAACTTGAAATGTCTAAGTACCACTGCAGAAGTAAGAGATAATCGATAAAAAAAACTGATATTCAAGCAAGTCCGGAACTGGCCAACACCTCAGCGTTGCAACCTTTACTATGTGTTCTTCCTCGCTTTATTACCATTGACACTTATAAAAAACGTGTTATACTATTAACAACAATATTCAATCGAAAGTTAAACACGTCACTTACCTTCCGCTATTCACAAAAATGACAATATATTGAAGATTAAAGGTGCCGTAGCTATTTTAACGACGGTCGTGTCTTCACTGGTACAAGAACGTAGTGACTGCTGCTTTTAGAGAGAACGGGAATTGCCTCCAGAATGTTCAAGAATTTCTGGAAATTTCTTGAATAACGGATGTTATTGTGTAATATTTATTAGATCTATGCATATAAGAGATTGTATAGCGTGCCAAGTTGTGATTGATACT